CATAGGTGCTAGAAGTTCAGGTCACACTGTTTTCAATTTTTTTTCTTCCTTATTTACTATATAATTTTTACTAATTTATTTTAAAGTTCACTGACTTTTCCCTCTGTTGTCTCTATTCTTTTATTGAGCCTATATTAAAATTTTTTAAATTTCAAGTTTTAAAATGTCCATTTTGTTCCTTATCTCTCTCTCTTTTTTTTGTATACCTTTATTTTATTTATTTTTATGTGGTTCTGAGGCTTGAGCATGTGCTAGGTGAATGATCTACTGCTGAGCCTCAACTCCAGCCCTCCTCTTTTTAATAACAATTTCTATTCCTCCACGAAGAACTTCCTTTTCATTTTGTTGGTACTAGGGTTCAAACTCAGGGCTTGACTCATGGTAGGCCAGTGCTCTTCCATTAAACCACATCCCCAGCCCTTTTTATTTTATTTTGAGTAATAGTCTCTTTAAATTGAAAGACTGGCTCTGAACTTGCAATTCTCTTGCTTCAGCCACCTAAGTTGCTAGGATTACAGGTGTGCACCATCAACCTTGGCTTTTTAAAAACTTCTTTGTTTCCACTAATTTCAATAGTGTTCACCTTTAACTCATGGAGGATGGTTATAGTACCTGCTTTAAAAATCTTTATTCTAACATCTTGGTCATCTTCATTTTGACATCTGTTGATTGTTGTTCTCCTGAAAAGCTGGTTCAATGTTCCTAGTTATTTCTATGTTGAGCAATTTGGCATTTGTCTTCACAGTTTTGAGTAATGTGTTGTAAGAATCTGTCTCTTGTTAAAATCCTGTAAAGAGTTTGAATTTTTTGTTGACAGGTCAGTCAAGCCACTTAGGTTCAGACTGTGATTCTCTCTTGCCCTCTGTGGTGGGTCCACTGTCAGTTCAGGTTCTAAAGTCTTTACTGTTATCTGATATAGTCAGGATGACTTTGGGACTTTGGAATTGGTTCACGGGACCATTCTCAAAACCGTTGCTCTAGTTCTTTGTTTGTGTTCAGTCTAGGCAGAGTTTGAGGGTGAGCATAGGAATTGCCCAGTTGAATTCTCTTATGAATTTTTCTGACACTTTTTGGCTTCTCTTTCCCCAGTCCCTCTATTTGGAAAAAAAGGCCTCTTAGTTGTTGTCTTCTATACTGTTGTGGGGAAGAGGTGAAACACAGAAAATAAAAATGTGTCTCCTCTTACACTTTTCACCCACAAAGCCCCATTTTCCTTTCTCCATCTAGAGAGATGGGTGTCCTTATGGTTTGAGGAATCTACACCCTTGCTGCTGCCTTCACAGATTGAGTCAGGAAAAAGATGAATATATTGGGATTTCACTCCAGCTCTGCTCTTGGATCACAGAAGCCCTTCAGTTCTCTGGCTAGAAAACGGATTTTGCTCCAGGGTTTTGCATCTACGCTTATGTATAATCTTATTATTTGGCCCAGTCTTAGGTCGAAACCTGAAGACCTTGGAGGAAAAGAATCCCAGGAAACTCACAGTTTGCATACAGGACAGTCTTTGAGTTTTAACATATCTCTTCAATCTTCTTGCTATTCTTTACTTTTTGGAGTCCTCATACAGGTGTTTTGCTATTCTGTCCAGCATTTTTTATTGTAATTAGTGAGAGAGGAAGACTCTTACAGGCTCATTTCATCTTGGCTGGCAACAGAAGTCTATTCATAGACTATATTTTGAAATTTGCTCAGGTACTGGACCACAGAGAAAGTGATAGCACACAACTCACGTTCTCTGAGAACAATGTAATTAAATTGGGAAATAATACCCAAATATATTCTTCCAGATGTTTAATAGCTTAAAAATTATATTGAGGTTATAAAGTATTTAGTTCTGAAAAACAATAGAAATACAATGATAAACTACAGAAAAATTATACCTACAAGGAAAAATTTAAATGTCTATATTGGGAAAAACCATTATAAATGTATTAGCTAAATATTTAACTTAAAAATGCTTAATAGGAAGTTAGAAAAATAGTAAATAATAAGAAAGGAAAAAGGATAGGGCACCTGCCTAGCAGGCTTGGGTTTGACTCCCAGAACTGAAAAAGAGGGAGGAAGAGAGAAAGAAAGAGGGAGAGAAAGAGACAGAAAAAGAGAGAAGAGAGAGAGAGCTAAAGAGAGAGAAAAGAAGGAGTAATAATGATAGCAGAAATAAATAAATCTAGATAACTAAGCCATAATAGAGACAATTGGCATAACATAAAGTTTATTCTTTAGAGAGATTAAGAAGTTACACAAACCTCTAACAACATCAGGAAATGCCAGAGATAAAATAAATTTACATTGTAAATCATTTACAATAATTTAGTATGAAAACATAGATTTAATAAATAATTTTTAAGAGAAATACATCTTACTTAAATTGCTCCAAGCAGATATTGAAAACTAATATATTAATTAAGGAAATGATATCAGTTAGTGCCCAAGAGTCTACTTAAAAGAAAAATCATAAGTACTAGTTAGTGTCATACTTTACCAAACTATAAGGGAATAGATAATTATTAACTTTAAATTTTCTAGAAAATAGAGTAGGATGCTCACAGAATAGATGAAATGACAAAAAGTAATGAGGTGCTAAGAGCAGTGTCTGACACATAGTAAGTACAAAACTAAGTGTCAGCTATTTTTTTCTTCTTATTTTTACATGCCAAAACTAGAACAAGTCAGTGCATAAAATAAAAACTACAGTCCAATATTACTTATTAGCATAAGTAGTATAATTACCGAATTAATATATTAAAAGATAAAAATATTTGATCAATTCAATAAAACAGCTCTTATTCTTGATGAAAGTTTTAATAAAATGGGAACTTACTCATTTATCAAAGTGTATCTACTAAGAAACCTGTAGAAAGCATTAATAATTATGAGAACTTACATAATCTCCTTTCAAATTGGGAGCCACAAAAGAGTTTTTTAGATGTTTATAGTTATACAATGAAAATAGAAAGAAGAATAAGAATTGGAAAATGAGAAACAAAATTTTCATTATTTGCAGATGCTGTGATATTAATTTATGTAAAATATGATGTTATATAGATACACTATTAGAATTAATAATAATTCAGCACATTGCTGGATACATAGAGATCAATATGCATTCTTAGTCATTCCTAAAATCCTAAAACTATTACAGAAATAAAGACCAAATTTGTAAGAGGAACAAAAATTGAAAAGTACTTATATCTTTACTATAGGACATAAGATAATGATGAAAACTACATGAATGGATGGGAAGACTTAACAGTATAAGGAAATAATTATCCCAAATTATCCTATAAATCCTATACAAAGTTAGTTATCCTTCTAAAATTGCTGGGCATCAGCAAAGGGTCAGAAATACTTAAGCTTAAAAAAAAAGAAAAGAAAAACTAGAGGAAGATCTCTGCAGATATTAAAACAAATTATAAATTTTAATTATTCAGTTATTTGAGGGACTGAGAACCATCCCAGCAGCTGCCAAAGCTCCTTTTGCTTCAGGGAACACCTGCCTTCTCTACCTGAACAGTACCAGTTGCTCCATCACGGTCCACTGTCAGAAAAAGGAAACTGAACTAGTTAAGACACGACTCCCTTGGTCAATTGGTAAGTCACCCAGTGTGCACACAGAGACTTTCAATATCACACATCATGTTCCTCTTTATGGGAACAGATGGTCCCTTTTTCTGGGGACATCCATGGAGCCCCTGGTGTACAGTCATGGTTAAGCAGGACTGGAGAACCTAGGGATGTTTACTCCCTTCTAATATGGTCTAGATTCTCCTCTGTTTGTTGGCCTTGGGCCTAGGAATTCCCTCTGGTTGTCTGTCTTTTGTGTATATCTGTCACTGTCCCTTTTAAGACATGGCCAATACTACACTGATCCTGTAGGTAGTCTCTTGGGAAAGATCTTGGCTGGCCAATGTAAAGTTTCCCATCTGTTCGTCATGATTTTGGGGCTCTCTCTGGTTGTCTTTGTGTTTCTTTTTTATAAAACCTTGCAATTGGAGTCAGTCTGTCAGGGAAAAGTGAGTTGAAGAAAGGGGCATCTATAGGTAAGAGCCTGTCTAAGATGTTTTGCTTAATCATCTGACTTTTGAAAGGCTTTCTGGATTATTATGCAATCTTGCAGTTGGAGTAGGTCTGTCAAAGGTAAAGTAAGTGGAAGAATTTGAGCATGCAGTTCTCTCTGTTTTAAAGGTTACCATTCGTAAATGCTGGTTTGGGCAATCCTCTCTCTGTGTTTTTTCGTATTTGTTACTGGCCATTTAAGATATGGGCCATGCTGCATTGATCTAACCAGTACTCTCTTGAGAAGAGAGATCATAGCTGAATGGGCCACCAGTAGAGATAAGGCTGTCTAAAAAAAACACAGTCGATTGTAGCCCTCACCTTCCTCCCCCATGGGCCACATATGTCAGCAAAGTTGCTAGAACCAGCCACCATGCCAGGACATTTTAGAATAACATGCTAGAACCACCTGGTCCCCAGGGTCATCAGAACAGCTCTCTGACTGTCTAACACTACTGACTGACATGGCCTTCCCAGTGACTCACTGCCCTCTGACACTCACTCCAGACCCAGAAGTTCCCCCCAAACCATCCTGCCACCTGGGACTCACAGGGGTAGTGCTGCCTCTGACACTGCAGATAGGAGTAAATGATAAAACATGTTAAAATGCATAAAATAAGAGGTAAAAGAGGGGAAATATAGTAAGAAGGGGCCTAGGGAGAGAGAGATGAAGGCCTTCTGTTTAGGAGGCAGAATACTCCCTGTGGTGTCCTCAGGGTCAACCTCAGTCTTCTGGTCAACATACCTACTTTCAACCTGGGCCCAGATGTTATGATGGAAGAGGAGGAAGACATGGAAAACAAGAACTTTATTAGGAAAACACAAAACCATGCTAACTCTACAACACGGGCTGGGGAATCAATTAAAATTCTGGGTGCACAGGGTTCCTAACTAGAGGGATTCTTGAGGTAGGATTCTGTGGCCTCCAGCTAAAAGTCCTCTCTTTAGCGCCAGCAGGATGAGACCTTCTTGGCCTTCTCACGGCGCTTTCTCCCTGGCAGGGAGGACACCAATCGCTTCCTGAGCCAGTGAAAGAGGCCCCGGAAATTCATACAGGAAGTGCCTTCTTTGTCTGAAGGCATATCCCGCTCCTCTGACTGCAATGCTGAGACTGGAGAGCTCTTTGCAGTGCCAGGCTCCTGGCTTTCCAACTGCCAAGACAAAGAGGAGGAGTTAGAGACATTCAGGGTCAGCAGCAATGGGGCCAATATTACTCATTTATGGATTTCCAATTTATGTTTTTAACCTAAATGAGCCAACTGTCAATGCAAAGTTTCAGGACTCACTCACATTAAAGCCACACACAGGCACACACACTGGTCTGTACAGTGCTTCTCTCTGTCCTCCCCTCTCTCTCTCTCAGTGCTCCCTGGCATTTCCCCAACACCTCTTCCCTGACCCCTTTCCTGGCTGTGGACCTTCTCCCATTGCTCATCTGCCCAGACACTGGGGTCCTCCTCTGCTTCACAGCAGGTACAAGGACTCCATGCTGTCCCACCTGGCACCCCCACTGGGCCTGTCCCTTCCTCTGCAGGGGGGCAGCTCTGTGCTCACCTCAACAATTTCATCCTCCTCAAGCCCAGGAGGCATTTCTAGGAACTGCTTGATATCTCCATTTTCTGCTCCTTGACACTTGGGCAAGTCCTGACAAGCCTCCTGCTCTTCAGGACTGACCTGATCCATATGGGAAGAGACACTTCTGGACTGCTGGACATCCTCCTCCTCTTGAGGAGACTCAGTGGGCACAGAGTTGTCTACATCCTCCTTCTGAGAAGACTCAGGGGGTACAGAGTAAGCTACATCCTCCTCTGGAGGCGAATCAGGGTGCACAGTGTCGTCATCTTCGACATTCTTCGGCTGGACATCCTCCTGCTGAGAAGAATTAGGGAGCACAGATTCACCTACAGTCTCCTCCTGTGGAGACGGAGGGAGCACAGTGTCATCTTCTTCATCATATTCGGGGTTGTCCAGAAACTCCTTAATATTTTTCTTGATATCCTCCAGCTCACAGAATGACTGGGTGATCGTCTCCTATTGGTGCTTGTCCATCCTCTGGTAATCGTCACTTTGAGACCAGTTAGCTACTGAGTCTTCATGGAGGCAGTTCAGATAGGCATACATGATCTCCATGATGGCTTTTTCACCAAGGTCTTCTGGCTTGTCCTTAATTCTATTTCTTCTGCCCATGGGTCCCCTTACACTGCTGGTTCCACATGCCCCTTGGACAGGAGGGAGGGAGGATGGACCCTCAGAGGTCAAGTCTTCACAGGGTATGATACCCTCACAGTCAGGGCCGGCCTCAGAGGGGAAATGGCCTACTGAGAGGTTCTGGTTGGTTTTAGATTCTAAAATGCTGCGCTGCATGTCGGGGAAGCTGTTGCCAGAGGACGAGTCGTCCATGGGGTCCAAGGGCTCAAATCCCCAGGCTCCCTGGACACTGGAAACTTCAAAAGAAAAACATTAATGGTGATAGGGGGGAAGGGTTTCATGTACTTTTCCAAATGATGCCCATTCCTTTATCCATTCCCAGCTATCCCACTCAGGCAGAAGTGCATCCTGTATTTGCACTCTCCAGTCAAGGGCACAAGAGGCAGTTCTTTCTCTTTAAAAACTCATTTTATTGAATAATGACCCTCTGCCCTGAGCATCTTCCACCTGATACCTCTCATGCTTTGTCTTATCACTACAGTTGGAAGAACTGCCTGCCGTAAAAGATAGTTGTATAAATTTGAAAATTTTAGGAAAGTCAATGATGTAAATAAATACCATATATCCCACCACCCAAGGGGAATGACAATCCTCAGGGAAAGAGTTTGATGCCTTATTTTATAGTCTTCTTTTTCCTCTTATCTACATACATGCATGGATTTGTACATGTGTGCACATATGTGGATGTCACATCAAAGACAGTGAGATTATTAAATTTTGTGGCACAACCTACAGGAAACACATATGTGGCTATTCTGTGATCCTTCAGCACTTTCTCATTAACTCTCTTTGGTGATCACCTGTTAACAACCGTCAACATAGGTGATCAATGAACCTTAGATAATTAAGACCAAAAACAATGATAGTAAACCCCCTTCTCCACACATTTTCACCTTTTTTTTTTTTACATATTCTTATAGGTTGCATTATTATTGAATCAGAGATTAAAAATATTTTTAAATTATGATAATTGACACTAAATTACTTTCTAGAAAGAATACAGCTATTTAAACACCCATTCTGACATCATCTGATGGCATCTTTAGACCATCATTTCTACTGAAGCTCCAGAAAGTCTTTGAGGAGAAGAACATATACACATTGGCTTTCCCTTGATCTCTCTCTCTCTCTCTCTCTCTCTCTCTCTCTCTCTCTCTCTCTCTCCTGTTCTCTCTCTTCTATTCTCTCTCACATACACTCTCTTACCTTGTAGACTCTGTCACACCTGACTCTATTTACTTTCTTTGGGAAAAAATGCTGCCAACTCCTGAGGCAGACACGGGCTACCTGAAGTCCTTCAGGTACTGAATCCAGTAACTGAAAAGTTCAAGTGTCAGAAGCCTGGGTTCTGAGAACCTTGGCTGCCGTGGCAACAGAGGAACACGGGAGAGCCACTATTGTGGAAGGAAAATGGGGATAGAAAACCAAAGGGCACATCCCTTTGCTTTAGTCATTTTATCCATCAGTGTCACCAAAGTATATGGCAAGAAAAAACTTAGAGGAGGGAAAGTATTTTTAAGCCTCACATTGTCAGAAGTCATAGAGCACTGGCTCCCTTGCTCTGGGTCCTCACAGCAGCACATAATGGGGGGAGGGGCCAGTGGAGGAAATGTATCAAGAGATGGGGGTCAGTAAGCAGAGACAGGAAAGGGCCACAGGAAGAACACTTCTAGGGCCAAACCCCAGTGACACACCTCCTCCAAACATGTCCCACTTTCCTACAATTACTACCCAGCGGTTCATTCAAACTAGGATGAATTCATTAGGTTTCAGCTCTCACAATCTACTTCTTTAACCACTGAATATTTTTGCATTAACAAAAGAGCTTATGTTGGACACCTCACATCCAAAATATAATATTCTGTCCTTGTCTTCTAAATAGCTCCTATCCTTCTCACAGAGCAAGATTCAGTCCGTTTGTCTCCCAAGAGTCTCATAATTATGACAACAGCTCTGGCACTGCCCAAAACTCTAGGCCAAGTCCAAGTCTCCTCTAAGGCCTCTAACCAACACTGGTTTGGGATGCCCTGGAAAAGTCAAAGAGAAGTTTCCTATATTGTAAATACAGTCACACACAATAATCATTCCCATTTCAAATGAGGGACTAGGACACAGCAGAAGGACTGAGGCCAAAATAAGACCAAGACCCAGCTGGGCAGAGAGGCTCCATGAGGCCACCTATAGTGGCCAAGACACTTGACTGTGAGCTCTTATTTCCTCAGGGCTTGGCTGCAGTGCTCATGGGCTCTTTTATTCTGGCAGTCTTTACAGCCACCAGGTTGGCTCAGACGACACTCCATGTTACTGGCATCTCCTGGGGTCTCTGTCACAGCTTCTCTTTACATTTATAACTTTAAGCATGGGTCTCTCAGCGCCAGCCCATGGGGACTGGGCCCGGCAACACTTTGCCTGGCTCCAGGTCTTCTGTTGAAATCTGGGTGGGAGCTCTCATGACCCCTTATGTATTTGTCAACAAAGAGATATGAGTTCAAGCATCCATGAAAAAAAAAAAATTAAAAAAGCACACATGAATGAGCACACACGAGCACAGACACACTTTATTTTTTTTTTTCTTTCAGTGTACACACTGAGATTCATTAATTCTTTGACAATTAAACACAAAAAGGTTGTTAAAGTTTTGAACCTTTGAGATATATATATATATATTTGTATATATATATATATACTGTAATTTTTTTTTTTTTTTTATTGTTGGCTGTTCAAAACATTACATAGTTCTTGATATATCATATTTCACAATTTGATTCAAGTGGGTTATGAGCTCCCATTTTTACCCCATATACAGATTGCAGAATCACATCAGTTACACATCCATTGATTTACATATTGCCATACTAGTGTCTGCTGTGTTCTTCTGCCTTTCCTATCCTCTACTATCCCCCCTCCCCTCCCCTCCCCTCCCCCCTTCTCTCCCCGCCCCCTCTACTGACATTCATTTGTCCCCCTTGTATTATTTTTCCCTTTCCCCTCACTTCCTCTTGTATGTACTTTTGTATAACCCTGAGGGTCTCCTTCCATTTCCATGCAATTTCCCTTCTCTCTCCCTTTCCCTCCCACCTCTCATCCCTGTTTAATGTTAATCTTCTTCTCATGCTCTTCGACCCTACTCTGTTCTTAGTTACTCTCCTTATATCAAAGAAGACATTTGGCATTTGTTTTTTAGGGATTGGCTAGCTTCACTTAGCATAATCTGCTCTAATGCCATCCATTTCCCTGCAAATTCTATGATTTTGTCATTTTTTAATGCAGAGTAATACTCCATTGTGTATAAATGCCACATTTATTTTTATCCATTCATCTATTGAAGGGCATCTAGGTTGGTTCCACAGTCTTGCTATTGCGAATTGTGCTGCTATGAACATCGATGTAGCAGTGTCCCTGTAGCATGCTCTTTTTAGGTCTTGAGGGAATAGACCGAGAAGGGGAATAGCTGGGTCAAATGGTGGCTCCATTCCCAGCTTTCCAAGAAATCTCCATACTGCTTTCCAAATTGGCTGCACCAATTTGCAGTCCCACCAGCAATGTACAAGTGTACCCTTTTCCCCACATCCTCGCCAGCACTTGTTGTTGTTTGACTTC